ACAAGGTGTTTGCGGTCCAGAATGGTGGTTGGTGTGCATCCAGTGCCAGTGCCATTGATACGTATAATATGTACGGGACATCAAGAAATTGCTTAGCAGATGGGGAAGGCGGAGCTTATGCCAACGATGTCTACATTTTCCTAGATACACCAAGTAAATATATGCGTATTCATACTTAATCGAATTGTACACATTATTTACCGTACAGTTCAGGTAATAGTTAAATGACTGATAACAAGTGTATATTGTAAACTCAAAACACATGATATGAATTACAATCTTGTTTGGAAAATAAATCCCTGGTTAATATGTAACAATGATATCATCAGCGAAACGTGTATGTGTATGTAATATTAAGTTGCATTTTTTGGTTCTCCAGGATACGCAAAAGTTGGATGCTTTGCTGATGTAACTACAGACAGGGCCATACCAACTCTTGAGGGAACAGACTCACGACTTGATGGTTCATATCACACTCGAACAAATCCATTACAAAAATGTGCCGATGTAAGCAGTGATAAAGATTTTAAAATATTTGCTCTGCAAAATGGAGGTTGGTGTGCATCGAGCAGTGATGCGACATCAACATTTGCTAAATATGGCGTTTCTCAAGCTTGCAATGCCGATGGGGAAGGTGGACCAGGTGCCAATGATGTATATATATTCACTAATGATTTAGGTAAGCACAACGTATCATGAACTGTAAATTTAGCTGGTAATTGGTGATATTTATAAACAGTTTAACAATTGAATAATTGGTCATTTCGATAATGACTGTAATTCATGTTGCTAAGAATTTCTTAATATAGGTATGCTGGTTTCGTAAAGAAAATGGATACTTTGTCTATGCAAAATGTATTATCAACGTTTCAAATCTATATAAAGGTTTCTCATCTGGATTTATGTAAATAAAATAAAAATTAAAATACAGATATTTATAAAATTTTTCGTCGATTGGCCGAATGTTATGGCCGTTTATTTTTGTAACGTCTTTTATCTTTCTTCTAATTGTAAACCAGTCACACTTGTATTAATATGTAAAGTGTAATTTCTACAGTTGCATTCATATTTATATGGCTTCTAGAAAACACAATAAAATAAAAAATATATCTCCTGCCAATTATGCTATTTTTTTCAAAAGAGGTCCGTGACCAAGTTACCGCATAATTTCATGGTAAGATATTTGCATATAAAATACGCATCAAACGACTATTCATTGCTATCTGTATATTTTCAAGTATCCAAAATGCTTTCTCTAATAATTCGGAAATCACTAAATAAGGTAACAATTGTTAACATCTAATAGAAGGGAATTCCGTGTTTTATTCAGATAATTTTATATAACACTATGTATGGAAGCGCTCATTTTTGGAATAATTCGTAATAAATTTGATATGCAAAGCAATGTGCTTAGTTGCAGACATTCAGTGTTATTGTTGAAATCAGCTTTAACCAAACAATGGGCACTGAATATAATAAAATTAATTTCATTGACATTTGTCAGTATATACTAGTATTGGCTGCTATGGAGATGCAGCAGTTCGAGCAATACCAACTCTTGAAGGGACTGACAGCCGTTTGGACGGAGCCTATGCATCACGTGAAAACCCAATCGAGAAGTGTTCACAGGTAGCTAGTGATCTTGGTTACAAGGTATTTGCAGTCCAGAATGGTGGTTGGTGTGCATCCAGTGCCACTGCCATTGATAGGTATAATATGTACGGGACATCTACGAAATGTAATAAAGATGGGAAAGGTGGAGCATACGCGAACGAAGTGTACATATTCTTCGACTAGGTAATTATACGTTTTGATGATCACAACAAATAGGCAAATATTATTATGTTATGAATATTGATGTTATGTTATGTTAGGATGCCAGCATACTAACCCCAACACGTTCTTGTTTCAGGACATGTTATGGTGTATTGGAGGCCGTAGTTCAGAGTAAATAATTCTACATCCACAAATACTTGTTAAGCAGCTGATAATAATTAAAATTTTAACTCACGAATGCTTTCATTGTGAAACATCGCATTAGTATACAAGGATTGGATTCTAAATACGTAACATAATATCTTAATAATCTTGGCTTGTCGTTATTTCATAGGTGCATGCTAGTCTTGTTTAATTTCTTGGTACAATAAATATGGTGAAGCAAATGTAATAGAGTACAATTTATTTATTTTTTGACCTGCTGACAATATGAAATAGTATGACGTTATTTGAAACTCGTAGCTGTGATTTTTTTAAAAGTAATACCTGATAAAAGTTACGAAAATGTTGTGTTTTATCAAATAGGATTTGGACAAAGGAATATTGCTCACAATTTGAAAATCGAAGGGAAGAGAAAAGTCTGGTAAAGATGAACACAGCAGATTATAACGATTATAACGATTTTGTGTTTTTGAGGATAATCAATTGTCACGTCTTTTTAATTTTTGAATATGAAATTGTAGAATCAACTTCTGTTTTATTGTTGTTTTATGGTCAACTGAAATCAAAAAATAAGACGTGCACCTGTAAACTAATACGCACCACCGGGATACAAATTTTGATTGAAATCACACTGTTCAACTCTGGAAGGACCACAATTATTGCCAGTTAACAATATTTATCAAGAAGTAACGCAAATGCATATGCATGTCATTGTACACGGTTGACATGGTATGTTTGAATGTCATCGGTCTAAGTTTTTCTGAGGATTGGCACACACTGACACACAGGCGACAATCGTATTTTCATCTATTACAATACATTGGCATGAATTATAAATTCATCTATGACTGAACAATATGGTTAGAGGGCGTCTATCTTCTAAAAAGTCAGATATAAAACATATACAACGATACAATTAAACACAAGAGGGCGTTATGTTAAGTAAATATACAAAACATGCGAAATCATTGAAAGAATCGATTCTTCAACATCTGGCTTAGTAAACCTTATAAAATTGTGAACCGTTGCTTTTATAAAAAAAAAAACATTTCAAGTTATAGTTTGTACGCTGTGAGGAGTCCAAAAACTGTTACTTTTCAAAACATCAATGGGTTTAATTAAGTATTTATTCGCAAAACAAGCTCACGGTCATTTGTCATTGTATCATATCGCCTAATCACGATTTGACCTCCTAACTTCTGAACTGTCTGCGTTTAAAAACCAGAAATTAAATTTCTACCGAAATTGAATAACAATTGTCAAATACTGTTTTCAAAATAAACGAATTAACTCTCACAGTACATCCATGATAAAATGAATGGATTTCTCCCCATGAACAACAATTTACATGACACGTGAAACAAACAATTACGTGAGTGAAACGATGTTTATTCACTACCGAAATTTGAAAATTTCTGTTCTGGTTTAAGATAGTCAAACGTATAGTCTCCAAAAAACACTTCAGTTAGATGAATTTGTGTTGATGGCGCAATTATGCAGTCGAATCAGGCACATAATTAAAACTTTGACACATTAAAAAATGATAATTTAAATTAAAATTATGATACGTTCAATTTGAAACATGAGAAATTTAATTTAAAATATGGGAAATTAAATTTAAAATATGAGGCTTTAACGTTGTATGAACATAGAAAATGTATACAGCAAATTTGAACATAACGAATTTGAACATA